TAAGTTGATTGAAATCAAGCAAGTATTGAGGCAGTTTATTTACCTGAACCAAGCTAATCCCACTATTTTATCCAGGGTGTTCTAAATGGCTGGAGAAGCTGGGGCTGCCCCATCCCTGGAAGTGTCCAAGGCCAGGTTGGAACAACCTGGGATAGTCAGAAGTGTCCCTGCCCATGGCAGGGGTGGCACTGGAGAATCCTTAAGGTCCCCTTGCCAACCCAAACCATTAAAATCGTGCCATTATTACTTTTATTTCCTTAATTTAGCACTCCTGAATGCCAACCTGCGGCAGCCCAGCAGCACCAAGGGCTCTTTGCCCTGCCCACCCCAGCTGGGCTCTCCCTGACGCGCCCTGGAAACGCTTTTCTTGGGTTCGATGTTTTGTGGGATTTGATATTTTATGTCAGCGTCGATTCCGGAGGTGACTTCAATGGACAGCGGCCACACCTCATCTCGAGCGCTCGCGTTTTTCAAGCCTCCACCTCTTTTTGGTAACGTTTTGCCTCCTAGTGGAGATTCCCCGGCACAGAAACCATCAGAAAAATAAAAATAAAAACCCAAACAGCCAGTGCTGTTTTTTCCTGCTTGCAAAGGTTGAGATTATTAAAATGAGAGGGTGAAATTCACTGTGTGGCGAAAGGCAATTCACAGGTTTTATCCTCTCAGCCGGATCCCAGCAGAATCAAACACTGGTTTTTATTCCAGCCACGGCTCGTTTTTACAAACCCAAACCTTTCCACAGCGGGTTAAAGAAGATGTTTGCTAAGGGCAAACACAAACAGCTCCAGACAGCCACAATCATTACTACACGGCAGCCTCTTTCCCACCTCCACCCAGCACACCAATCCTTCCCTCCACAATTCCACGGGAAAAGGGCAAAAAGAGGCACCTTTTATTCGATAAAAGCAGCGTTTGATGCGAGTCAGGAGGTTTTTTACACCTCCACAGCCTGAGGGGAAGAGCTGAAGAGCAGCGCACAGGAAATGTGCTGTACCCAAACCCAAGATGACAGTAAAAAAAAACAAATCCTAGAAAAAAACATCGGTATTCCATCATCCTGCAGCCCTTCTCCAAGAGGGGCAGAACTACAGGTTTCTGCTGGACAGCATTAGCTGGTCATAAAAGGATAGGAATTTAAATAATAAATAATAAATAATAAATGCTGCAGTCCTGCCTCGGCAGAGCAGGAGGAAAGCAGGTGCTGCTGCATATCCAGTGTTTTCCAGGCACTTCCCAGCAGGGAATGAATGACAAATGAAACACAAATACAGTGACCCCAGACCCTCCTGCCTGGGACAAGAACAGGGGACACCGTTCCACAGGCACAGGGAAGGGCCCAGCCCTTCAGAAACACCTCATGGAGGAGAGGAGAGGGGCAGGGAAGGGGATAAAAAGCATCCTGACAAAGTGTATTCTCTGCAGACTTTTATTAATAAAATAGACGATTTACAGCATGTATCAGCGGACAGTGTGCTTAGAGAACGTCTCGAGCTGGGTATTGTGACACCACAGGCGGGAGCTGGGGTTGGGGAGGAGAAATCAAACCTCAGATGACACCCTGCCAACAATCCCAAAGCCCTATCCCAGGCTAAGCCTTAAACCATCCCAGCTGAGGTCCCAGAGGAGCTTGTATTGCTCTAGGTGAATGCCCCTGGTCACTCTGCATGTCCCCACACCTCTGGATCTGTGCTAGGAACCATCTCAGTGCATCCTTTGGGATGTGGGACAGCAGCCTTAGAGCCACGACCCTCATCTTCCCAAACCAGCAGCCTTAAACCCACAACCCTTCACCCCACAGGTGAATTTTACCGGCTCTGATGCAAAAGCATCTCCTCACCTCTTCACCCTCCCGCTCAGATAAGGGATAAACCTTGGCCCTGAGCCTGTAAACACCTGTACACACATGATTAACGTTACTCAACAGATTGTTTCCTCAGCTGTTAGTAAGTCTGGTTGGAGTAAAATCAGTCACATGCAGCAGGGCCCACGAGTTTATTCCCCCTCTGGAGAACAGCTGCTGTCCTGGGGCAGTTCAGTTGTTTGTACAAGGCCAACAGGTGAGGAGAAAGGTAAAACCCTTACAAAGGCTCTTGGTCAGGCATGCACGGTACAAGACAAATACTGTATTTAAGAGAACCAGATTAATAAATAGCAAGAGTTTTTACATTTTTCAAACCACTGGCACAAGGACTTTGAGAAGAAATTAAAGAGAGCGATTGCAAGAGTAGTCTTGTTAACAACCTCTAACCCAGCCAGAATTTTACAGCAGAAACAGTATCTCAGTTGACCAAATCATAAAGGCATTTTAATAACTACCTCTACCTAAGCCACAGAAATAATTCAGTTATAGGGAACTGAAAAGTGA